CTAACCCTTCTCCACTCTATCCAAAACAAACATTTGATTGGGGTTTTGCTTTTAGGCTAGGAATAAACAACATTTTATTAAATAAAAAAAAATCAGTAGCAGTTAATCAATAAGGTTGATTCACTAACACAAATGGAACAAATGTGACCGATGGGTCTGTACACTGACAATGACATGCTGTCAGTTATTTGTGACTGTTCACACAGCCATTGATTTCCTGTAGTGATTGTGTCTGGATGTACTCTGTGTGAATCCAGTTGCGATCACCGCAGGTAATTGTTGGCTGTGCAAACAGCCACAATTATCTGCACATAGCTCTCACTCCCAGTCACAAGAATTAGTAGATTCTTGCTGCTGGGATTCACAAGGTGGCTAAGCACCTGTGCAAATGGAGCCTTAAGCTCCAAATGTGTGTAAATGATTGCTGCTCATACTACCTTTGTAGCCTACACCACCTATAGTAGGATCCTGAATTTGTTCAAATCAGGGAACTCCGATGTACAGATCTACATCATGTTTTTTGCAGATGTAGGATCCTCAAATTTTTCAAAAGCCTTGTAGGTGGCAGAACCTACTGCTGTCTTACCCAACAATTAAGTCAATGTTGGAGCAGTATTGAAAAGGATTGGTTTGCCGCAACGTGACATTGAATTTATTGATGAAGGTATTGTTTTTACCATGCAGCCCCCAGCAGTTCCTCTTCCACTCTCTAAAGATGGGCAGATCTTTGAGATCTTTAAATTTTCAGTCCCATCTATGGATTTACCAACCCAGATGCAAAGCCTAATTTCATGTAATGAAAGATCAGGTCTGTCACATTTTTTTTTGTTAACATCAAGATACTCAGTATTTTCCTGGAAAATTAATATTTTCTAGTGCTGCCCAGCACATACAATAGTTTGCCTGTAGCAAAGCATGTCTAATGGAATTAGGCAGTTTTCTTGTAGGTCTTTCACAGCAAAATAGTAAGGTCGGGGGCGCATGCGCGCAGCATCCCAAGATGGCAGACATGTAACAGGTGAGCTCCACTGATCCTGAGCCTGCAAAAGCCTCCCGATCCTCTTCTGAAGCTGCCACAGACCCGGGGGAGCTCTCTTTTGACTCGGGATGACCAAATCACACATGGGAAAAATCGGGTGGTGAAAACCACCCACGCCACCTCCTCCAGACCCAAGCCCTTCCATGCTTGAACACTTCTTTACCAGGCCTGCATCCCCAGCCTCGAGCAGTTGCGGAGACGCGAGCGAGTGCTCCACAGGGCTTACTGCAATGGCGGGGATGGACACAGACACTTCAGCCACCCAGCCTCCTACACCTCAACCCCCCTACCTGACAGTGGACAAACTGGAGGACAAACTACAGGTATTTCTACACAATATTATCCATACTATCTCTGCCAAAATTGGCTCAGGAGCTCAGGGGGGAGATAATTCAACTGGGGGACCTCGCCGACCATCTTGAAACAAAATTTGATGAATTGGTACAATACGTACATGTCTTGGAAGAAGATAATGCGAATTTGAAACATTCCATTACTCAATTACAGCTCCAACAGAAGGACCTAAAAACAGGGAACGCCGCCAGAATATTTGTGTTCGTGGCATCCCTGATTTGGTCCCTAACCCTCAACTTTAACGTTATTTGCTGTCTCTGTTTACTACTCTGACCCCTAAGGTCCCAGGTATTGATTGGCGTATGGACGGGGCCCACAGATTTTTAGGTCTGAAGCCTCCTGTGGGTACTAGACCCAGAGACGATATAATTCGTTTTTATTACTTTGACAGCAAAGAAGCCTTGCTCAATTCTCCCTGGAATTCAAAGGGGACAAACTCCAGATTTTCAGTGACCTATCCCCCATCACTTTGGCCAAGAGGCAAATCCAATCACCGCTCATCTCCAACAGCATCGTATTGCCTATTGGTGGGGGTTCACCCTTTAAGCTTGTTGTCTCCAGGGACAATTCACAAGTTCTACTTTGTGATTTACATGAAGCAGACACCGTCTTCAAAGAAATTGTGCCAAAATCCACCACCAAAAGTAAAGTTGGTGGGTAACTCACCAGAGCTCCATGCTGATCAATCTCTAGATCAGCAAAAAACGCTTTTTGCTCTGGGAGCAGATGCAATGAATCAACTTCTCAGGTGTGATGATCAATAGCTACACATTCATCCATAAGGTAGGTATCCACCACTCAATATAATGGTTCCAGGAGCATTATATCACTCTCTCTTTTTATATCTCTCCACCGAGGTCATGTTTGGGGAATGAAAGAGAAAAATCATGGTGCAAACAACTGGGTATTCCCCCCCGACACCAGTGCCAGAAGAGGCCTTATTGCAACCACTTGCATCGTACAGGCCTTCAACCACTCCACGCAAGGTCTGGATGCCAGCTAAGTCCTGGATGAAGAGGTTCCCCCAAACCCCACAAACATGGCCTAGATTACCTGGCTCATTGGGATTCTGCTACCTGAGCCTTCCCGCTCTTCTTTTTTTTGCCTGGTCACAGGTTCCTCTCCTCGATGTATCCCTGATGATACTCCTACATTATCTTGTGTACAATAGGAACTTCCGACCATCCTTTGTATTCATTCATATGTATGTCCTGAATATAGCCATTACAAGGTTAACTGAGGTAGGCACCTGTCATTTGGGGAAAGCTGCCATGTTACCCCTCTGTATGGCAGGCTCCTAGTCTTGACGACTGGAGTCATCCTCGATGCCTCGGGTTTATATCTTTGATGATATCTTTAGCATTTTTTGCTCTTCCAGCTGTAGCCCACACATCCCCTGTTTTTCAGGAGACATTTGTTGTTGTTAGGCCTGGTGCCATAATTGAAGTCTGGTTCTCCGCCTATGTTAATTTTCTTGTGTCATCAATAATATTTACCTTGTATACTCAGGTTGCACAGCTACCATACCCATTATTGCCACATGTTGGCTCTAAGGCTGTTATCATATAATGTCAAAGGGCTCAATTCAATCCAAAAATGGTGGATGGCTCTGTAGGAGTTCAAATCCTCGGGAGCAGATATTATATTCATCCAAAAAACAAATTTTAAGCAGGATGGCTCTTTTAATTTTGCCCCCAAGAGTTTCTCTCAATCCTACTCAGCTTTTGATCCCTCCAGAAAAGCCATGGCTATAATATTTGGGGAATATTATGAGAAGCTTTATAAGCGCCTTACTCCTGATATTTATTCCCCCTTCCAGATGGCTGCTTTTAATGGCTGCTTTAAAAACACTTTTTTTGGCTCACTACACCTACCACATTTGTCACCTTCCGATGTCAATTCTTTAAACGCAAAAGTTTCTATGGAAGAACTTCTAGATGTTGTTAAGAACCTCCCCATTCACATATCCCCGGGACCGGATGGTCTTCCGTACTCATATTACAAATCCTTTATTGGCATCTTAGCCCCCCATTTACTTGACCTGTTTCAGGCTCTCCTGAGAGGGACCCACCAACACAATGACTTTATGCACTCTCCTAGATTGTAAGCTCCAAGGAGCAGGGCCCTCCTTTCCCTCTTCTGTTGAACTTTATTGTTGCTGTATTGTCTCCCGTTATATTGTAAAGCGCTGAGCAAACAGTTGGCACTATATAAATCCTGTATAATAATAATATAATAATGCACTCATACATCTCTGTGATCCTGAAGCCAGACAAAGACCACTCTCTCCCGGATAATTATCGCCCCATAGCCTTGTTGAACTCCGACTACAAAATATTCACAAAAATACTAGCCAATGGGCTGACCAAATGTATCTCCAAACTTATACACAGAGACCAAGTGGGATTTATCCCAGCTAGACACGCGGCGGATAACACTAGGAGGGCCATTGTCAGGGCTCCCGGGTATGACCAGAGGTATGTGAACTGACGCAGGGAAACGCAGGCTTCAGATATGTTATAAACAATATAATTTATTAACACTAACAATACATAAACGCAGTGCAATACTAAAACATAACACAGTGCAAACGAACCAAACCAAACCACCCACAGATAACAATACATACAATGCAAGCGTCGTCAGGCAGGCCGGGTCAATAACAATCGGCCAGGTAGGTACAGGGGGTCAGGCAGAGAATGGTCGGGGTCACAAGCCAGGGATCAAACAGGAGAAGTCAGCAGAGGTCCGGATCAGGCAGGGTTGGCAACGAATCAGTCAGACAGAGATAGGAACAGGAACAGGGATGCAGGTAACAAGATACAGGGGCCCATAGAAAAGCACACACCAAGGCACAGACTGCAGGTCTGGCCATCCCTTAAATACACCTGCAATCAGCCTCAGGTGTTTGGCTGACTACAGGGTTGAGTCTCTGATTGCTGAGAGCACCCGCTGGCCAGCCCTGGTACTGCAGCCCACAAGGCAGGTGAGTCCCACCATTACTGGCAAGTCCATTCCTGACAGTACCCCCCCTCAAGGAGCGGCCTCAGGATGCTCCAAACAGTCCTAGCTGGGCAAAATGTTCCACCGCCCGGGTCTGGTAACTGGCGGGATATCAAAGACTGGCACATCGGGCTGGACTCCGGGCAGCGGCACATCGGGCTGGACTCCGGGCCCCCAGGCGGGGCGACAGGCACCGGGCCCCCAGGCGGGGAGACAGGCACCTGGCCCCCAGGCGGGGCGACAGGCACCGGGTCATCACGCACGACAGCGGGCATCGGGTCACCAGGCATCAGGTCATTTGGCTTGCCAGTGGGCACCGCATCATCTGGCAAGGCAGTGGGCACCGAGTCACCAGGCACGACAGTGGGCTCCGAGTCAACTGGCATGACCGCGGCGGGCACTGGGTCAGACATTGGATCGTCTGGCTGGACAGCGGGCATCGGGTCACCAGGCATCAGGTCATTTGGCTCGACAGCGGGCACAACGTCATCTGGCAAGGCAGTGGGCACCGAGTCACCAGGCACGACAGTGGGCTCTGAGTCAATTGGCACGACAGCGGGCACCGGGTCATCAGGTACCGGATCGTCTGGCTCAACAGCAGGCACCGGGTCATCTGGCGCTGGATCGTCTGGCTCGACAGCGGGCATCGGGTCACCAGGCATGACCGCGGGCACTGGGTCATCAAGCATTGGATCGTCTGGCTTGACAGCGGGCATCGGGTCACCAGGCATGACAGCGGGCACTGGGTCATCAGGCATTGGATTGCCTGGCTCGACAGAGGGCATCGGGTCACCAGGTATGACAGCGGGCATCGGGTCACCAGGCATCAGGTCATTTGGCTCGCCAGCGGGCACCGCGTCATCTGGCAAGGCAGTGGGCACCGAGTCACCAGGCACGACAGTGGGCTCCGAGTCACCAGGCATGACTGCGGGCACTGGGTCAGACATTGGATCGTCTGGCTCGACAGCGGGCATCGGGTCACCAGGCATCAGGTCATTTGGCTCGACAGCGGGCACCGCTTCATCTGGCAAGGCAGTGGGCACAGAGTCACCAGGCACAACAGTGGGCTCTGAGTCAATTGGCACGACAGCGGGCACGGGTCATCAGGTACCGGATTGTGTGGCTCGACAGCAGGCACCGGGTCATCTGGCGCTGGATCGTCTGGCTCGACAGCGGGCATCGGGTCACCAGGCATGACAGCGGGCACTGGGTCATCACGCATTGGATCGTCTGTCTCGACAGTGGGCATCGGGTCATCAGGTACCAGATTGTCTGGATCGACAGCGGGCACCGGGTCTTCTGGCGTTGGATCGTCTGGCTCGACAGCGGGCATCGGGTCACCAGGCATGACAGCAGGCACTGGGTCATCAGGTACCGGATCGTCTGGATCGACAGCGGGCACTGGGTCTTCAGGCATTGGATCGTCTGGCTCGACAGCGGGCATCGGGTCACCAGGTATGACAGCGGGCACTGGGTCATCAGGTACCGGATCATCTGGCTCCACAGCGGGCATCGGGTCACCAGGCATAACAGCGGGCACTGGGTCATCAGGCATTGGATCGTCTGGCTCGACAGCGGGCATCGGGTCACCAGGTATGACAGCGGGCACTGCGTCATCAGGCGTGATAGGATCATCAGGCTGGATCAGTTCATCAGGCTGGGTAGAGACATCAGGCTGGGTAGAGACATCAGGCTGAAGTGCGGGTGCCGAGGCACCAGGCTGAACCACGGAAGGCAGGTTCTCAGACGGCAGGCTCACCGGTTTGGATACTGGCAGGATGGTACTGGTTGGAAAGAATTTTCGCTTTTTTCTGGTTTTAACTACTGGAGCACTGCAAGTAAACGCAGGTCTGCACTGAATGAAGCAGCTGAGGACAGAGAAGAGCTGGAAGATGGAACAGAGGAGGGAGCAGTTGCTACAGAGGACTTCTTTACAGGGTTAAAGAAAGGATAGGTGGAGCAGAGGACTGGTATGTGGTAGTTAGAGTATACTGGGCAGTCACTGGGGGTGCTGTCGGGGATGCAGGAAGAATGCCTTGAGTGGAGGAATGATGTTGTAAGCTGACTGAGGCCGGGTGCAACAAGTCTGACCATGTCTGCAGTATGGGTTGAACAAAGCTCCGCTTACACAAAGCCTGTCTGGTCAAAGACTGCACTGCGTTTTTACAATCTCTTAGTACCTGTGGTGAACATGCAGAATAACGCTCCAGAAAGTAATCCACATCATCCTCTAATAACCATACCAGGGACTCTACCTGGTCGGCACTAAATGGCGGCAAAAATTCATCCCTGCATTCGGGGGTACCAGATGAAACCAACTCAGCACAAACCTGAATCAATGGCTGCACCTCAGAGAATTCTGTGCCCTGATCTACTAGGCAATGAGCGATCCGTATACATTCTAGCAGTTGATCCCTGGGATACTCCTTCAGAGTCTGATAAGCATACTCTCTGTCATCAAACACTAGCAGAGATAAATACACAACCTCATCAAGATCCATCCTTCCCAGCAACAATAAGCCAAGATGGCTTCCCTGTGCAGCCACTTCTGGTCAGGATTGGCCTTGGTGTAATGTCAGGGCTCCCGGGTATGACCAGAGGTATGTGAACTGACGCAGGGAAACGCAGGCTTCAGATATGTTATAAACTATATAATTTATTAACACTAACAATGCATAAACGCAGTGCAATACTAAAACATAACACAACGAATCAGTCAGACAGAGATAGGAACAGGAACAGGGATGCAGGTAACAAGATACAGGGGCCCATAGAAAAGCACACACCAAGGCACACACTGCAGGTCTGGCCATCCCTTAAATACACCTGCATAATCAGCTTCAGGTGTTTGGCTGACTACAGGGTTGAGTCTCTGATTGCTGAGAGCACCCGCTGGCCAGCCCTGGTACTGCAGCCCACAAGGCAGGTGAGTCCCACCATTACTGGCAAGTCCATTCCTGACAGCCATTGACCTGATCAATCTCATCAAGTCCCTGAAATCCATTCTTCTGTTAAGCTTAGACACCAAAAAAGCGGTTGACAGACTAGGTTGGCCTTATATGTTTCAAGCCTTGGACAGGTTTGGCTTCTGTGGCCTGTTTATAAAGGCTTTGAAACCCCTTTACTCCACTCCCTCTTCCCAGGTCAAACTGGCTTCGTACTTATCTCCTACATTTCAGATGTTATCAGATAGCTATCAGATCCAATCATGATATTCATGGGACACATGCCCACAGTTGTGAATTTAAGCTATCTTAGTTTGCAAATGATATAACCCTGACAAAACCCCATACCACTCTTCCTGTTCTCTATCGCACTCTCCAACTCTTTGGTGCTTTAGCCGAATATAAGGTTAACACTTCTAAAACGGCAGCGTTACCACTTCACATACCCCCCATCATCCTATCTTCCCTTACATCAAATTACCCCTACCGCTGGTGTTCCCACTCCCTGAGGTACCTAGGTACCAACCTCACCTCCTCTTATCATTCCCTTTACAAAGTTAATTTTCCGCCCCTCTTCCAAACCATTACTCAATCTTTGGACTCTTGGGACAAGCTTATCATCTCCTTCCTGGGAAAGATAATGTACTTAAAATGACCATACTGCCCAAACTATTGTACCTGTTTGAGATGCTTCCAATCCCTTTCCCCATGTCCAAGCTATGTTCCCTTCAGAAATCTTTCCTCCAATTCACCTGGCATAATAAATCTCACCAAATTGCCAGCACAGTTCTACTTTTGCCATGATCTAGAGGAGGCCTAGGGGCTCCAGATATTGTGAAATATTATTTGGCTACACACCTCTGCACTATAATTTCTTGGTCTTCCCAAACGCCCCCAATAAATGGTCTGTGATTGAATGGTCGCAGCTACATCCATTACACCCGTGCTTCCTACTCTGGTCTATGACTCCCACTGAAATCTCCCCACATAAACACTGACTGCTTGGGCCAATGCAATTTACGTTGTTAATATGGAGGCGTTGTGGAGGTAGATTCTGTCCTCTCCTTGCTCGCCTTTAACCAATATCATATATACCCTAATTTTCCTGATAGCTTAACTCCTGCCCGTATAAGCCCCTGGGCTAAAGCTAATTTATTTCAGCTAAGACATCTGGTGCACCTGGTGTCTCGGAAGCTTAAATCCTTTACAGAGTTACAAAAAGCTACACATATGTCTCCTCAACAGCATTATGTTTACTTGCAGATGCAACATTTTTTCTCCTCAAAGATTCCCTCCCTGACTCTAGAGAAACCTACTCACTTTGAACACATTTGCATTCAGAGTCCTTGCCAAAGGGGCCAAATCTCCTCCATTTATAATCTATTACAAGACACTTATTCCCTATCTACAGACCTACATCTCTATATGTGGAAATGGCCCCAAATCCTCCAACAAAATATTCCCCTAGGTCACTGGAGTAAGATTTGGGAGGCCGACTCCAGATCTTATAAATGTGTGTTATATAAGGAAAATACCTATAAAGTTTTGATGTTTTGGTACAGGACACCTGAGGTCCTCCTCCTCATAATCCAAATGTTTCTCCTGTCTGCAGGCAATGTGGCAAGGAAATTGGTACTCTTTTTCACATTTTCTGGCTTTGCCAACACATTGAACCTTTCTGGAGAGAGGTCCTAAGCCTTTTATGGCTTCTTTTGCAGGTTCACATCCCATTTGATCCTATTCACTTTTTATTAGGCCTACCTTTTACAGGCCTCTCAAAGCTTGCCAAGAAACTATCTTCCCCATGTCTTAACAGCAGCCAGGCGAACCATACCCATGCATTGGTTATCCACTATACCTCCCTCACAGTCAGAGTTGATAAAACTTATTGGTGAGGTTAGAAGAATGGAATATTTAACTGCATTGCATGCAACCTTGTCCCCCTTCTTGAAGCAGTTTGGGAACCATGGGACCTTTCTACTTACAGTATGTCAATTCAGATGTCATAGGTCATATATGTCAAATGGTCACACTATTGTCGACCATTATTTAACTGAAAGCATTGTATAATCATAATACCTGAAAGCACAATAGAAGTATTTAACTACCAAGTTTATTTAGCCCAAAATACAATAGTATCTAAATTCTCATTGCTTAGAAGAGAGCTTGTGTAAATGGTTTTCAATACCATTAGTTTGAGAAAGTGTCCACAAAAAACATTCAGAGTAACATGATTTCTGTTTCTAAGACAAACAACCAAACAGATACTTCACTGTAGTCTGTGGAAATTAGTATATATTTATATGTGTATGTATACAGTATATCAAACGCAACACACATAGTACCACTGCGTTGATGTAAGGCCAATGTGGTGCCTATATTTAAAAAGGGATCAAAGTCTTTACCAAGTAACTACAGACCGGTTAGTATCACTTCTATAGCCAGAAAGATACTTGAAAGTTTAATAATAGAAGAGTTTTTGCTCAAAATAATATATTAAGTAATAGGCAATAGTCAGTGCAAATACCTAGACAAAGGAGTGGCTGTGGAGATAGGTTACTTAGATCTTGCACACAGCGTTTAAACACAGTTCCCCACACCCGGTTAATGTGTAAGGTAAAGTCTACAGGCTTAGAAAATGCACTTTGTAAATGGGTAGAAAACTGGCTGGAAGACCATAATCAGAGAGCAGTGGTTAATGATTCATACTCACAATGGTCTAAGGTTATTAGTTGTGTATCCCAAGGTTTAGCAGGATTTTAGGATTAAAAGTAACATTTCCGTGTTTGCAGATGGCACCAAGCTATGTAGTGGAATAACGCTTTTACAGGACGTCTCCAATTTACAAGCCAACCTCAATGCACTGTTTAATTGGCCAACTACATATGTAGCAAATTAGGTTAATTGTTGATAAATGTAAAATTATGCACTGAGGGTTAAAAACACGCATGCATCATATATTCTAGAAGAACAGCTAGGGGAGTCAATGGGGGAGAAGGATCTGGTTTCTCTGGTAGATCATAAGTTTGATAATATCATGCAATGCCAAGCTGCAGTTTCTAAAGATAGAAAAATACTTTCTTGTATTAAAAGAGGTGTAGACTCCAAAGAGAAAGAGAGACATAATTTTGCCACTGTACAAATAATTAGTAATGCCTCATCTGGAATATACAGTTCAAAATTGGCCACCAGTTCACAAAAAGGATATCAGAGAACTGGACAAAGTGCAGAGAGGGACAACCAAACTGATAAGAGGCATGGAGGAGCTCAGAGAAGAGGAGATTAAAGGGTAATGTGGTCAACATACAGTATTGAAATACATAAATGTATAGTATAGTGAACTTGTTGTAGAGTTATTCACTTCCAGGTCATTACAGAGGACAAGGGGCAGCCTTCACATATGGAAAAATTTCTTCACAATAAGAGTTGTGAAAATGTGGAATAAACCCCCTCAAGAACTAATTCTGGCCAGCTCAGAAATTTGTTTTAGAAAAAGAGTTGGATGCATGTCTAAATGCACAAAAAACTGTCTACTAACATTTAGAGGTGATAACACCAGGGGTAGCTGATCCAGGAAATATTAGATATTAGCCTCTTGGAGGATCAGGAA